TCGACAACATTATTGTTATTAAAAGTACTGGTCTGTAGGGAATCTTATCATTGAAATGCTTTTTTCAAAATCAATTCAACATTAAGGATCTGGGTTCTTTGAAGTACTTTTTGGGGATTGAGATATTTAGGAGCAAGAAGGGTATCTTTCTATCTCAAAGGAAAAATGCTTTAGATTTGTTAGCAGAAACTGGGAGAGTAGGAACCAAACCACGCAGTATTCTGATGGTTCCTAATCAACAACTTACCAAGAATAGAGAGCTCTTTAATGATCATGAACGATATAGGCTACTAATGGAGAAATTAAACTACCTAACAATGACTCATTCTGACATTGTGCATTGAGTTAGCACTATACATCAGCTCATGTCTTTCCCCATTGGCTAGCTCTAGAACAAATGCAATGTTACTTTAAAGGAGCTCCTGCAAAAGAGATTCTCGATAAGGATTATGGGCATAAAAATATTGAATGCTTCTCTGATGCAGAATGGACAAATTCCAAGATTGATCAATGATCCAATACTGGATTTTGTGTTTTTGTGGACGGTAATTTTGCCTCATGGAAGAGTGAGAAATAAAATGTAGTGTCATGATTTAGTGCATGAATCTGAGTATCAAGCAATGACATAAGCTTTGAGTGAATTGATGCAAGTCTTCCAATTCCTACTCAAATGGGTTTTATGATGACCACGTCAGCAAAGTGTGGTGTGATAACCAAGCTGCAATTTATATTGCTTCAAACCTTGTCTCCATGAACGAAAGAAGCATATTAAAATAGAATATCATTTTAGTTGTGAAAAGATTTAACATAATTTAATCTCTACAGCTCATGTAAAGCTGGGGAATAGCTAGGGGACATCTTCACAAAAGCCCTTAATTGAGCGAGAGTCACTTATATTTGTAACAAGCTGGGCATGATAAATAGCTATGCTCCAACTTAAGGGGGAGCGTTATGAAAAATACTAAATACTAAGTAGCTTGCATATTAGAAATCTTGTATATTAGATAATTAAAGAAGATTTAATTTCATTTTTTTTCTAAAATAGGTATATCCTAATATGTAAAAAGATGAGTGTATATAAATATGAAACATATGATTTCAATTGAGAAATAAGAAAAAAGAATGTTTTTCGCTCACAAGCTTCAAGCTCTGAATTCCTTCAAGATAGTCAATGAAAATGCATTTCACTACACATGGATCAAGCTTATCTTACTTGATGTGAGTGAAAGTTCTGCATTCAAAGTCTCATAGCATGGAGAACTCAATAAGTCTACTAGACAAAAATTCTAGATTACATTAGAATAGTTGACGATGAGCAATTATTGGCCAAATATATTACATTGCTAACTGCTTCAACCCAAAAGTTTTAAAACAAACCTGCATTCTTTGGCATGCATACTAAATTTTCCAAAATAGTCCAACTGAAGCTTTCCGTCAACCCATTTTTCTAAAGAATCATCCTCACTATGCTAATCTTCGCAAAAATTTATGAATTCATTAACAAAAATTTCAAGTCTATTGTATGTACTCAACTTATTTACCTACCTTTAATTTGAGCATTTTACCAAGTCACGTAAATTTTTGGAATACCTCATTTTTGTGTTTCAAAGAATACACTCATCTTTTTTTTCTTGAATAATTATCAATTAAAGAAAGATAATACATTTCACCACCATGTGAGTATACCCCAGATAGCCACCAAAGATTTGACTAGATGTAGCCAAGAACTGCATTTGTCAAATGAATGATAGATTTAATCGAGAATCTTGGTTTAGCCATCGGTGACAAGAGACATTGAGTGTATCTCCATTCCAAAATCAAGATTCTGAATCTTGTCACTATATAGAAAACCTTGCTTCTCAAGCTCATCCAATTCTCTTTGACTTATGTAGTCATGTCTCATAAGCCATAATTGAATTACTTTTGCTAACTTAATAGTTGCAATAACTGATCCTTCAATGATTATTATTCCAAATAAGAGATACAAACCATTATTCAAGATTCCTTCATGGCAACTTAGCCTTTATATACCCTTAAGCTTCCACTTTCACTCTTGAATTCATAACTACATTTATTTATAACTTCAAATAAAACTAAATTTCCCAAGTATAGACCTCACTTCTTATACTTGTCATTCATTCAATCAAACATCATGATTCTTAAATTGCCAATCACCATGATCATGAAAGTCTTGTTGTTTTCACGCATCAACATGTTGCCTACAAAGTTTCAAAATGACTCAAACAAAATTTGATTGCAGCGCATGTAAATAAAAAATCCATTTGGAATCCAGTCCTCACTAGAATATGATTCTAAATTTTGTTCCTTTAATATTCCACGAGCCATAAGGCTATCATCAACATTTTGATCTTACTTAAATTTTAATATATTCAGGGTGTGTTTGGGGTGTCGTTCTGGGTATGGACCGATTTGAACAACACCAAAGTGTTGATTGAGGCAAGCTTTGAAACTCTGTTTTGCGGATAAGTAGGAGTTAAAAACTTCATTTTGCAAACTCAACAGCACCCCCGTGGTCTATAGTTTCATTCAACATTCTCAACCCTGATTACCTTTAGGCCTTTTTTTCTTTCTTGCTCCCCCATTGCTGGCTTGAGCTTTTCGTCCTTTTTTTGCCTTCTCCTCTTGGTGACGGAAGGCTAAGTACACCTTTATCTCCTATTTTGATAAAGCGGCTCATCTCCCTTTCTAATTTACAGTTGTGGCAGTTTTTAGGTAAGTTTGATTTGTAGGATTGTCTCTTTTATATTGGGATTCATTAATTTGCAAGTTGTATTTCATATGAGTGGTTTAAAAGTTGATCGATGGGCGAAATGCAGATTTCTCGTTCTTTGAATGCCTAATTATGTTTTCATTTTCTAGTTTCCGATTTCTCATAATTAAACATAGGTTAAGAGGCATCACAAAGATTTCTCATAATTAATTTGGATTTATGTCGGGCAGGTCTACTATGGAAGCTATACATTTATTGAGAGGTTTGATGGAGAAATTCAGAGATAATAAAGAGAATCTACATTTGATTTTTATTGATTTAGAAAAAGCTTACGATAAGGTTCCAAGAGATATCCTTTGGAGATTTCTTGAGAAGAAAGGTGTTGATATGACTTATATTCAAGTCATTAAAGATATGTATACTAGAGCTGTTACTTGTGTTCAAACTGAAGGAGGATTGACCAAATATTTTCCTATTTCGGTTGGATTACATCAGAGATCGGCTTTAAGCCCATTTATTTTTGCTTTAGTTATGGATGATCTTACTGGACATCTACAGGAGGATGTACCTTGATGTATGTTTTTTGCTGTCTTGTGGAAAAAACGAGAGAAAAAGCCCAGGAAAAACTTAAATTATGGAGGTCTACATTGGAGTCTAAAGGCCTTCGTTTAAGTAGAACTAAAACTGAATATATGGAATGTAATTTTAGTAGTAATAACTCTAGTGACAGAAGTGTGACTTTGGGTGATCAAATTATTAAAAGGTGTGAACGATTTAGATATCTTGGGTCCGTTGTCCAAAGCGATGGTGATATAGATGGGGGTGTTAATAGTAAAATTCAAGTTGTTGGAGGAATGCTTCGAGTCTTTTGTGTGATAGAAAAGTAGCGCTTAGACTGAAGCGCTTAGACTGAAAGACGGTGGTGAAACCTGCAATGCTCTATGGCGCTGAATGTTGGCCTTTAAAAGAGAAGCATAATAATAAGTTAAGTGTTGCCGAGATGAGAATGATTAGGTGGATGAGTGGCTTTACACTTAGAGAAAAAATGCGGAATGAATATATTTAGAGAAAGTCTTCTTAGATGGTTTGGTCACATTAAACGTCGACCATCTGATGATTCGATTAGGAGAGTAGATGTTTTAAATTCGACTTGTGTTAAGAAAGGCAGAGGTAGACCTAGGAAGACTTGGGCTTATTGTATAAATATGACACTAAATAGGACGCAATAGAGAAAAAGGATTCATGTAGCCGGCCTCATGTAGTGGGATTAAGGCTTTGTTATTGTTGTTGTTGTTGTTTTTAGTTTTCGATTTGCCTATTTTGGTGATTTTCATGGTTGGAATTTTTGAAGTTGATATTGATTCAATGGCTTTGATGCGTATGATTATTGGTGAATCCTTTGATCGTTACAGGTACCTATGATCATGTTATGTTTATAAATATGAAATAGAGGCATGTGAGGTCGAAAGTGTAACTTTTCTATTTTTCAAGCTATTTGGAAAGGTTATGTCGTTGGAATGAAGAAATTGAAATGAGTTTTAGAGAGAAAACTCTCCAAGAGAAATGAGTGTTTGGACACAAAAAAGTAATAGTATGATAACATTATTTGTTGTTGTTGCAATTTAATTTTTTATGTTACTCATTCTTAAGTGATGTGTAAATTTTGATGTAATATATTGGACTTCAGATTTTCTGTAAACTTCTAAAATTTATTTCTGATAGTTGGTTTGAATTCGTTATGAAACAATTAACTTACAGCTATTACATGTACATAAGAGCATTATAATCTTTTATCATAGAAAATAGCTGCAACACAACAATTTAACAACTGAACAATTCGAACACACAAAATGATTCACCATCAATAGTTTTATCGCAACATTGTCTTCTTCAGCAACTTCAGAGCTATTTCTTCAAATGGCTAAAGCTGCCCCAAACAAACCCTTAGCTAGATTTAAAGCTTCCCAAATCTACTAAATCCAAATACATGAAATATAAGCCTACATGATTTACATCCTAGTTGTAGCCAGACAGTCCCTTGTCCCTTTTTCTGCATGCCTAACACAATCATCGATATAAAAGCAAAAAATAGCAAAACACCAAGCCAAGCAAGAATGATCCAAATTTTCCATGGAACTAAATAAGCTAATAAACAAATTCACAAAAAATAAAAATAAAAAACATCCATTAATGACGAGATAGAAAAGGAGACTAGATCGAGACATACACCGAAGAAAAATCTCGGGGCAGAATAAGTGCAAGATCATACCAGTCTCCAGTGTCATAGCTAAGTAAGAGTTGCGCCGTTTCTCGAAGGCCTTGAGGCTGAAAAATCCGGCGAACAGGAGAAGTACGCCGGCTCCTCCGCCTCCGGCGAGCGATGCAGTGCTGCCCCGCCTGAAATAGCCGATCGCTCCGCCGGAAAGCAAGAGCAGGCCGTAAGGGATCGTGAAGCAAAAATCGTGCATCTCTTCTTCCCTTCTCTATATCTTTCGACTCTCTCGATCGGGATAAAAGAGAACAAATGGTAGAGGAGCAGTTTGGGGCTTTGCGCTGTAACGTGGAAACCACGTTGCTTTTGAGCCTTTGGCGATGAGGTCAAAGAGAAGTGTGGCTGGCACACACGACCGGCTTTAGCTACTGGTCATATCATTTCTATATATTCATTTCTCTTACATCTAAATTTTTATAATTACATTCAAAATGTTTAACATCACAATAAAAATATTATTTTTTATTTTTTAAAAATGAAATTTAAATTCTATTTTCGCATAGTTTTTTTACCTCGAAATATTATAAATATAAATTTGGGCATTTATGTATTAATATGTTAGCATTTATAAATTATGTTTTATGTATCTAAATTTATTTCATTATTATTTTTTTCTAATTTTAATGATTAATTGTTTTTTATTTATGGAAACCTTACCGCTCAAGATTTATCTTACATAACTAACACCTAAACTTTACTTTTATTGTAGACACAAATACATGCATAAAGATATTTTTTATGGAATTCTCTCTCATCAAAATGAGCTCATCAGTCAAAGGGATGAACTGAGCCTTTTCTAACTAAATGGTTGAATTGAGCTCACCTATCGGAGCAGCCGAACTGAGCCCACCTGACTCGAGTGGTTAAATCAAGTCTGTCTATCTCTCTGATCACTCTCATTTTCCCTTGAAAGAGTGACCTAACCTACCTGAGCTTAGGAGGCTATGATAAGAAGCAATCATGACCACCAAGGCCATCTGTTAATTCTTTATTTAAAGGTGTCACCCAACATTTTAGGTTCTATCTTTTCACTAAGGCATTAGAGTGGCTATCGTACCTGTAATATATAATATTCGCCAGAAATACCTGACATTAGCTAGCAAGACACCGACATCCACATCACAGTCTTTTCATCATGATATCAGAGAGAAGTGATAGGCGGTGTGAAATGCATTACTTTGTTTATTTCATAGATTTCTTCTTCTATGTATAGAAGGGGAAGAAAAAAAAAAAGGAGTGGCGTCGTAGATAATAGGCACACTATAACAAGAATTACCAGCACTAGAGGAACCAAGATAGGAACAACTAAGGCAAGGGTCATATGCCTGGGACCTGCTAAGAGCCAAAATGAAAAGGCTCTTACCCAATTTTTTAACAGGAAATAAAATGCATGGGTGATTTTGATTGTTCAAAAGAGGAAGGACATGTTGCCAACTTGATCAGCGAAGATAGGAGAAGAAGACGAAGGATTTCTTTCAACTATTACGATGAATAATTCAAGAGAGGGAGAAAAAGATAAAGACTAGCTGACAACCCCTTTTTATGAGAGGTCTTAGAAGTTGAAGTTCTGAGAAAGTTTAAGATTCCATCTTTGGAATCCTACACAGAAAAATATGACCCCGCTAAACACCTAGCTTACTTCAAATCAACTATTTGCATACTCAGAATGAATTACACATTGAAATGTCATTTGATCATCATGACAATGAAAGAATCAATCCTGCATTAGTTCAACCACCCAATGGGAGTCATTACCTCCTCTAGCATATTTAAGAATACGTTTGTGACTCAGTTTGTTAGTGTGTAAAAACCTCCAAAATGCTTGCAGGCACTAATGAAAATACATCAAGAACACACTGAAAGCTTGAGGAGCGACATCGCTCATTTACAATGAAAAATGTTAAATGTCTAATACCCTGAGCTTGTAGTCGATCATGTGGCTCTAGCCCAAGACCTAAGTGAAGGGCCATCTTGATATACACTTGGGTTACAAAGCTAAAGACATTGGTAAAGCTTCTAGAGTTCACAAACAACCACATCTCTACACAAGAGTACAATTCTAGCTTTAGACCCACACGATTGTTATAATCCAAGAAAGATATCAAAGCTAACCTCGTGATGATCATCATTATCAGAGGATCCATTTTAAGAAGATTAAACCCTAGAGTGTTCAGAACAAGCATGCCCACTTGGATCAGAGAAATTTGAAGGAGAAACTAGTTGGAATGAAACTAGAAAAAGTGAGGGAGTTAATCGGACTCCTCCCTCCTCTGCTGAAATCACACCATTAACGGTGTCATGGCTAATGTTGTATAGTTCATTCAAAATGAAGATTCTTTAGGAAGCCCTTTCTTAAGCCGAGATTCAAATCAATACTGTGTATATCATCGGGATAATGACAATAATACTGAAGAATGTCAACATCTTGATAACTTGATCGAGGAGCTAATCAAAATAGAAAAGTTGAAAGAGTTCATGGGCCCCAAAGCCCACACTCTAAGACAAGTATGACACCCACTGAGGGTAATAATAATGAGTGTGTTTTGGCAAGGTTTGTCCACTATGCACAAACCATTCCGAACATCTTCGGAGGACCTGGGGTGGTTACCCAAATATCTAGCCTAAAAAGGTTAAAGACGAGAAATTTTTCAAATATCCTGAACAAATGTACCACGTTGATCCATCCCCCAATCACAAGAAATCCCTTCAAAGGGCGTTATCATAGTCACTGAAATCATTGAAGACTTTCAAATTAACAAAATTCTGATAAAAATTTGTAGCGCTATAAATATCTTGTTCAAAGAAAATTTTGAGAAGATGAGAATCACCATCAATCAATTAGCCCTTACTTCTAGGTCGCTATACTAGTTTTTTGGAGAATACAAAGTGACGTGCAGATTCATTTCCCCACAATCACTTAGGGAGAAGAAGAATTCCACACCATGACATAGATGATTCATCATCATGGATGTGTCAAATACACACAACGCCATCCTTCAAAGGGTGGTGCTGAATGTTTTCAAAGCACTCACTGCTGACCTCATTTTTTACGAGCTCTAACTCTTTCTTTTAGAAGCCTACGATATAGCCATAGGACTTTCCTTTTGACTATTCTAGAGGACTAGTATTGGGACCCACACCATTTTGAAATTTGAACCACTTCTTAACTCTTTGTAGTCTCACATGTGTGGTTTCAATTCCTCAATATTTAGTTGAGTCGATTGGAACCAACATATTAAAACTCAAGTCAACTTCCTATAAGGATAGGGGTTGCCTTAAGAAAACCATTTATACTTATAAATTTAAGACACCAAACACACACATTACAAATCAAATACACTAGAACTATCACACATACATACACCTTATACACACACACATTATAATTCACACTACTCACAAATTATAATTCACTTAATTTACAAATCAAATCATCAAATTATCTTTATCTTTACTTAAAATTCAAATTCTTATATTAAAAAAGGAAGAATATAAATAGCAAAATAAAATTCATATAATAATAATAAAATAATAAATCATGAAAAATATGTATGTATAAATAAATAATCATAATAATGATAATAATAATTACAATAAATATATAATAAATATAATAACAAAAGAAATCATAAAAAATATATATGTATAAATTAATAATCATAATAATGATAATAATAATTACAATAAAAATACAATAAATATAATAACAAAAGAAATCATAAAAAAATATCAAATATAATAATATAATAATAAAATAAATAGCAATATTATAACAAAATAATAATAATAATGATAATAATACTTCTCATTCCCTCATCTCATGCCAGCCACCCCACTCCCTCTCCATCTCCTATATAAGAGCAAGCCTCCCTCCTCCCTTCGGCTAAGTTGCAGTCACCCGTGACTGAAAAAAAAGGAAATTTTACATGCATACCACTAAGTTTTATATATTTGCATATTAGAAACACAAAAAAATATATAGGAAAATTTACATGCGTACCACTCCATTCTTTTTTTTCTTAAAATAAAAAAGGGGGAATTTTTATATACATACCACCGAATCGCTATGTATTTCCATACAAAATTTTATACGCACCCACCCAATTTTTATGTATTGGTATACACGAGAGAGAGAAAAGTAGGGAGACTTTACACACATACCACTCAATTTGTATGTATTTGTCTATACATACATGCCACACAATTTATGTACAAAAAATAAAAAAATATAGAATAATAATAAAAAAATAATTAAGGAGATTTACAAACATACCACCTTAAAAAATAATAATAAATAATAAAAATAAAGATAATAATTTATAGAAATAAAAACATTAATAATAAATATAATAATAATAATGATAATAATAATAATAATAAATAATAATAATAATAATAATAATAATAATAATAATAATAATAATAATAATAATAATAATAACATATGTATATGTATATAAACCATAATAGTAATATATATGTAATATAACAGGTAATAATAATGATAATAAAAAATAATAATAATATACAAATCACAAGAATAACATATAAATAATACAACTAATAACAACATAATAATAATAATAATAATAATAATAATAATAATAATAATAATAATAATAATGACATATAAGTAATAATAATAATACTAATAATAATATATGTACATACGTAAAGAACATAAATAATAACAAAGATAATAAATAAAAATTAAATAATTATAATAATAAATATTTATATAAATATAATAAAATAGATACAATAATTCATAACAATCATCAAACACAAATACACTATTTCAAAAACAACGACAACAACAATAACGATAACAACGATAACAGCAACAACAACCAAAACCTAGGATAAGCCTCATGAGGCAGGGTTTCTCTCCACAAAACTTATGATTACTTGACACTTTTTTCTGTTCCCATTACGAATCTTTTGGTACGCTTTTGCGAGTTATATATGTTTGTGGTTGAAGGGTTGGATGATCATGAAGCTACACCTCAGAGCAGATAAAACAAATAATATCATGAACAATCTCTCTTTTCAACGTAGCGATATGTGGACCATCATACTAGTGTAAGTCAGAGGTCTAGGTGGTGAGGGCGATGATGATAACACGTGTGTTAAATGTGGGATTATTAGAATAGTATCTCCTACCTCAACGACCTTCAATGAGAAGAGAGGTTAAGGACCGACGATATTATTCACCAACTCTTGGTAAGATTATTGGACCAGTAGTCATAGCTTGATTAGATTAATTTAACATGCAAACTACAAAATATTTTAAACAATAATCCTTTTTGTAACATAATTATTTTTGCTTAAATTTTACATGCATGAA